TTTTTTTTTTTTGAATTTTCACCCTTAATTACACATTTAATTGTACAAACTATCATTTCTATCCACTTTCATTTAATTTCTCAACAAAAAATTGTGAAATGACAAACATACCATTCTATCTAAATTTAAAAATATATTTTTAATTTATAATTCTTTAATAATTTATTTGTGATTCATTTGTACTTTTTAAAAAAAAATTTAAATAAATTTAATCTGGACTCGTTTGCACTTTTTTAAAAAAAAATTAATTTTTTTAATAATTTATTGGGTTTTTTAAAAAAATGTGGGACTATGGTTGCAATTAATTTTTTACCTTATCGTGTTAAATAAGATGGTATATTCTTTATTTCACAACTTTTATGGAGAAAATGGATAGAAATAATGGTTTGCGCAATTAAATGTGTGATTATAGGTGAAAATGCTAAAAAAAATAAAAAGTATGGACAATTTTTCTAATAATAGTGAAAGGTATGGACATTATGTGCTAATTACCCTTTTAATAATTTATTTGTGACTTATTTGCACTTTTTAAAAAAATTGGGACTATGATTTCAATTAATTCTTCTTTTTTCTTTTTATTTTATTTAAATAGAAGTGTATATTCGTCCTTTCATAATTGAGAAAATAGGTGAAAATGACCTTTTGCGCAATGAAATGTGAAAATATCAAAAAAAAAAAAAATGAAAGGTATAGACATTTTCCACAATAGCAATAAAATGTGGGAACATAATGTGCTAATTACCCTATTTATTCGAAATCAAATGCGAATGTAACAAAATCAATTGAATGAAGGGGTGTTTTGTATGTTTACTACTGTGAGCTGTTCCGATATCTATCTAAATGTATACATGAAGAATGTTTTTTAAAAACTTTATAAGAGATGAGTGCGTTAAGAATCCGACTCTATCAATTTAGAGCATGTTTGCTCAGGATTAAAATTCAATTTTAATTGAAAATATGGCCGTTATTGGATCACACTCGTCTAATAAAAGTCAATAATAACGGCTAGTTTTTCAATTTTAATCCAATTTTAATCTCTACCGAACACTTATTTCAAATTATTCAAAATTAAAATAAACAACTTATTATCTAAATAGTGATCAAGCATTTAAACAATCCATAAGAATATGATAACAAACTTTAACTCTTCAATCTCTTGCTTTTTTATGCCCTTAATCTCGTAACCTCGTTCTCCACCTTTTTGAATGAAGAATGTCGACCTCAAATAAGGTTCAATCTTTGGTCAAATGGCTTTATAAAAAGATGGACAAAATTGAAAAGGAAACAAAATCTTTTCTCCGTATTTTTACCATGCAATCACATAATACGGTTAGTTGCGATCGCATGGCATCAACATATTATTCACTGCAGTTCATCATTATGCCCTTACGATCGCTTGGGCAATTGTCCAGTGGTTGCAAGGTACGTACAACTTATTCCCAATTGCAATC